TCCAACTCTATTACTAACAAGAAGAAACAAACAACATGGAGACAGATAACGGACGCGATTAATGATTGCTCTGACTCCGGCTGCCTTCGAACAGAGAGCGATGTAAGGAAAAAGTGGAAAGACCTCATGAGCAAAGCCAAAAAAGATTTATCTGCTACAAAACATCACCCGACCGGCGGGGGTCCTCCCCCCAAAACTTCCGTGTACAGTAACATAATTGTGGATATTTTTGGAGAGGATTCTCCGGCTTTTATTGGTTTAGTCGGTGCGGAAAGTGGCGGTACTGACCTGGAAAACAATGCTGTCTCTCCAGAGATGGATGTCGATCACTCAAGCGAGAGTGTGAATTGTGAAGGTGTGTAGTCTATATATTAGAGTAGCCTACAATTAAAGTTTTAATAACGTTAGTTGTCAGATAACAGTAGGCCTATGACAAATTATCTATATTTTCAGACTCGATGGAGACCCCAGTTACTCCACAAAGTTCGCATGAAGGCAGCAGCGGTGCACCGCCGGTGAAACGTATGAGGAGGCTGGATAATCTGTTTTAAATAAATACCTAGGGTTGTGTTTATTTTCTTCTAATAGGGTTGAAAAATAAGCAGATCTAGCAGCTTTCTGTATGCAATCGAGCTCTCCTTCCATGAAATGCAAAATACCTCTAGTTTAGTTTTATTTCAGTTTCGCTCCATTATTCTGGCTGCTCTCTTGAGGGCCTGAGTGTGCTCTTTGTACCACGGCGTTGGACTATTTTCTTTATTCTTATTTAAGCGCAACGGAGCAACTGTGTCTAAAGTGCTGGAAAAGAGAGAGTTAAAAGTTTCTGTGGCAATATTGAGTTCTTCTAAGCTATTCGGGATGCTGAGATGATGAAACTGATTAGGAAGATTATTGATAAAGCAATCTTTAGTGGCAGAACTGATAGGTCTAACATATTTGTAACACGGAGTCGGCTTTACAGCCTTGGCTAAATGAAGTTTACACAAAACTAGATAATGATCTGAGATGTCATCTCTCTCCTGCAGAATTTCAATAGCATCAACATTGATTCCATGTGATAATATTACATTTAGAGTATGATTACAACAATGAGTAGGTCCTGACACGTGTTGTCTAACTCCATTAGAGTTAAGAATATCTTTAAATGCCAATCCCAATGCATCTTTTTCATTATACATGTATATTAAAATCACCAACAATTAGGACTTTATCTGCAGCCAGAACTAACTCTGATAGAAAGTCTGTATGGTACCCTGGTGGCCTATAAACAGTAGCCAGCACAAATCTCAAACGTGATTCATCATTTAGACTATATATTGTTACATTAAGCACTAACACTTCAAAAGTATTATATTTGAAACTAGACTTCTTAGAATTTTTTTAAATATTACTATAAATTACAGCAACACCTCCCCCTTTGCCTTTCAGACTAGGTTCATGTTTATAACAGTAATCCTGGGGGGTGGACTCATTTAAAGTAATGTAATTGTTTGGTTTTAGCCAGGTTTCTGTCATACACAGCACATCTAGGTTATAGTCTGTAAACATATCATTAACAATAAGTGCTTTTGAAATAAGGGATCAAATAATCAGCAACCCAAGCTTTATCATTTGTTCATTTGTATTAAATCTGTTTTTTATTTTTTTGAACATCAATTAAATTTTTAACCTTAGATGGGTTTGGAAGTTTTTTGTATTTCCTAATTCGGGGAACAGACACAGTCTCTATATGATGATATCTAGGTGAAAGAGGCTCTATGTGATGGGATTTATCTGACCTTGGTAACGTGAGAAAGTTAGCAGACGGTCGGTTTAGCCCGTTTGTCTGCTTCCTGACCTGAGCCCCAGATTGTCATGTTTTAGCTCTAAGACTATGTACCATATTACTAGAGAGAAGAGCAGCACCAGCCCAAAAGGGATGAATACCATCTCTTTTCAACAGGTCAGGTCTGCCCCAAAAACTTTTCCAATTGTCTATGAATTCTATATTATTTTGCGGACACCACTTAGACAACCACCATTGAGTGAGGACAGTCTACTAACTATCTCATCACTCCTGCGAACAGGAAGGGGGCCAGAGCAAATTACATTGCCTGACATCGTACCTGCGAGTTCACACACCTCTTTAACATTAATTTTAGTGATCTCTGACTGGTGAAGTCGAACATCATTTGTTTCAAGGTTCTGCCCTGGCAGCCTTGTCTGTTTTGTTGTGGTTTCATGTTTCTGTGTTTGTCTTGTGTTTGAGCACATGGCTCTGTCTTGGTCTGTGTTTGCCATGTGCTCCTCATGTCCTGCCTCCTTGTTTCTCGTTACCACGCCCCCTTGTTTAGTCCACGTCTTGTCCTCGTTTCATTAATTGTGCTCACCTGATCCTCATGTGCTCTGGTCCCTTCATATTGTGCCTCTTTCCCTCATGTCTTTGCTGGTTCGCTGTGAGTATGCACATTGCAGTGTTTTCTAGTGTGTGATCTTGAAATTATCCTAATGCTTACGCTGTTTGTTATCATTGTTTTGTTTTGCTTAAGCTTTAGCACTTGTGCTTGGTAATCTAGTTGGAGTTCTCTTTTGTTTGGAATTATATTTTTAGTTTTCTTTAGTTCTTATTTTCCCTGTCAAGTGGAAGTTTTCTCTTTAGCTTCTCCAGTTTTTTGTCTTAGTAGTTTTCATTAGTTTGCTTTCTATTTATTTATCTACTTTTTGTTTCTTTTCATTGATCTTATCAGTTTAGTTTCGCTTATCTTAATTGTTGCCTAATCTTGTCTTGAGTCTTGTCTTGTGTTTCTCGTCTTGTATGTTGTTCTATGTGTTTCTGTCCTGTATCCTGAGTTCCCTGGCCACTGACTCTCTACTGCCTGACTGGTGCACCTATCCCCTGTGTCGAGCCTCTGGTTTTGTGAGCCTCTTCCTGGTGGCAAGACTGGAGCTACATCTGAGATCTACTGCAAGCTGCATGTTCCTAGTGTTCCTGCCTGGTCTTTCCTTCAGAGCTGCCTCTATTGCACTCACGTCATCGCCATCTAGCTGACGGTCTCAGTGGTCATCCATCCTGCCTGTCGTTGTCGTCTGCCTTGCCCTACTGTTTTTACTGTGATTCACGCTTCACTCCCTGCTGTTTCAAGTCTTCAGTCCTGTTAATAAAAACCTTGTCTGGGTCCCATATCTTGCAGAACCCTAACACATTTGTGCTGACGTGAATAATAATCGATTAGCATTAGCTAGCACTTTTACATTTCCTTTGATGTCAGGCGTTCTGGCTCCCGGCAAACATGTAACCATGTTGGCTGGTGTCTCTATTTTCATGTTCTGTGTAATAGAATCGCCAATAACGTATTAAATTCAACAGGATCCTCAGTGGGTGTTTCACTGAGTGGGGAGAACCTGTTTAATGTTGTAATCGGAATGGAAGAGCTGTGTTTTGTCCCGCGATTATAGCGCTGTCTTTCCATCACTCAATTGCCCTGCTGTACGGACTCTACTTCAGCCGGAACCAAACAATGTACAGTGTTCACTAAGCTAGGCGCATCCAAAGCAGTATCTAAAGCCCCTGCAATCTTACTACCCTCGATTAAAGTTTGGATGCGTGTATCTAGTTCTGAAATCTTTTCCGTCAGCCTGACTATCTGCCTGCATTGATCACATGTAAATTCTATGCTGACAGAAGGGGCTATGCTATACATGTTACAAGAAGTGCAAGTCACAATAAGAGGAGAAGATGACATGACTCACCGTGTTTGCTGACTGATTCTACTTACCACAGCTTTGATGGATTTGTAAAAGGCGCGAGCTAAATAAAGATTTCAGCACATATGTTTCTCACAAACATGATAATTTCGAACTTGATAAATGTCAGTAAAAGCTGAGACAGATGCTACTATATCTGAAATGTTGAATATGTATTGAATGTGTGTGAAACTCCGGGTGTATTATATTTCAAGCTAACAGATCTCCACTGACATTATTTCTATAAAACGACAAAATTGGTCAATTTTTATTCTAAAAGAATAGTACTAATAAATAATAATAAAAATTCCACCAGGACCCTTTGCTTATGATGCTCCTTTCAGATGGAATATCTTTAATAAGACAAAGCAAATCAAGCAGTGACATTTTCCAAACTGGTGTTTCCAAAATGGTCAATGTATATGATAGTGTCTTTATTCATATTATTTATTTAATTAATTTTTCTCTTTATATTATCATTATTTTACATGTTATTGAGTTCTTTAATCATATATATATATATATATATATATATATATATATATGTGTGTGTGTGTGTGTGTGTGTGTGTGTGTGTGTGTGTGTGTGTGTGTGTGTGTGTGTGTGTGTGTGTGTGTGTGTGTGTGTGTGTGTGTGTGTGTGTGTGTGTGTGATTATTTCCAAATGTAAGATCTTTGGTGTCTCTTCTGTGCCGTAAGATTGTGTGTGTATTTTCCATCATCTATCTTTGACATTTGACCTAGCCGTTACACCAACTATGACATAATGGAAAAGTCTGTTTGACCTTTTCTTATTAGACCAAAGCAAGCGTAAGTTTAAGAGAATGTATGTTCCCTGCATATATATTCATTGCTTTTATTTTGCTCTTCACCTCTACTTCTGCTTCGTCTCTTTTATCTCTCCTTTCATTCTGCAAATATCTTCTTTTAACATTCTTTCTCTACACTAGATTTTCACAATCTTCATGTTAGATACAATACTTTAGATTTTACATACACATGTTTGATATTTGAAATTGTATTATTTTCCTTATTCAAATTTTATATTTTTTTTAAATAGTACATGTATATATATATATATTTATTTATATAGAATACCTACATTCCAACCTAAACGGTTTTTATTTTGAGTCTGTTAAAATTATCTACTAAGGAAAAAACTATACTGAGCCCAAACTTAACCAATTGCGTTTCATTGATTTTTTTTAATCAATAACGTTAAACAATACTTGTATATTCTTAAAATCATTGAACAAACAATAGTGCAAAAACACTGAAGCTCTTTTTAAAGACAATATGGGTGGCTCTTAAAAGAGCCTTTGTGTTGTGTTGCGCGGACTCGCTCTACTTTGAGCTGGTGTATTTGGTCACAGCCTTTGTGCCCTCAGACACGGCGTGTTTGGCCAGCTCTCCGGGCAGCAGCAGACGCACGGCGGTCTGGATCTCTCTCGATGTGATGGTGGAGCGCTTGTTGTAGTGAGCGAGACGAGACGCTTCACCGGCGATGCGCTCGAAGATGTCGTTGACGAAAGAGTTCATGATTCCCATCGCCTTGGAGGAGATCCCGGTGTCGGGATGAACCTGCTTCAGGACTTTGTAAACGTAGATCGCGTAGCTCTCCTTCCTGGACTTTCTGCGCTTCTTTCCGCCCTTGCCGGCGGTTTTAGTGACGGCCTTCTTCGAACCCTTCTTGGGTGCAGACTTCGCTGGTTCAGGCATGATGCTTCAGTCAGTGAAACTCAAGAACAATGAAGCTGTGTCTCTACAGGCGGGGTTTTATGCACTGCTCTATGCTAATTTCCAAAGGGAGGTACAACCTTCTCTGATTGCTACTTATCCTGGACCAACCCATAGAATGATTTCATTGGCTACATTAAAAGTTCCTTGACTTGAAGAACAGCCAATCACAGGCTTTAAATGTTAATCCCGCCCATCGCCTCATGTCCTACTACCATCCCCCATTCTATCATCAGGTTTCTTTGTTTCATTTTCCCGCATTTTTCGGAATGTTAGCACTACAGTATAAAATATTGAAAGTAAAATATTATTTCAGTTTAATTAACTTTTGTTTAATCAATAAAATATATATGTAATTCATACTACAAAAACTAGCATATTAGCCTGTTTACTTTTCACAGAACAGTAAGGAACGTTTAATAACGATTTTATCACTGAATTTTAACACCATGAATAACTAATAATCTCGTTAAACTGCATTTAAAATATTTTAGAAGCACTTGAAGTTTGTTCTCTGTGTGTAAATGTGGGTGGCTCTTAAAAGAGCCGTTGGGTTTTTTTTCTTCGTGAGTGTCTTAACCGCCGAACCCGTACAGGGTGCGTCCCTGTCGCTTCAGCGCGTACACAACATCCATGGCGGTGACGGTCTTTCTCTTGGCGTGTTCAGTGTAAGTCACAGCATCACGGATGACGTTCTCCAGAAACACCTTTAACACACCGCGCGTCTCTTCGTAGATCAGCCCAGAAATACGCTTGACGCCGCCACGTCGAGCAAGACGACGAATAGCGGGTTTAGTGATTCCCTGGATATTATCGCGAAGAACCTTTCGGTGACGCTTAGCGCCTCCTTTCCCGAGTCCTTTCCCGCCTTTTCCTCTTCCAGACATGTCGGCAAATATTCTTTCACTCAGAGAACAACTGAATAAATTACAACCTCTGGAGAAGAGGGTTTATAGTCAGCTAGCGGACCTAGTTGAAACCAAATTCATGGGTGGTTCTATTTACGTCACTCGACACGCTACTCTCCAACTGGTGCTCAGCAAATGACATGTAGCTCCACCTCTCTTTACGTCATGGGTTGAGTTTGACGTACAGCTCCACCTCTGTGGATCTAATGGAGGGATAGAGTTGTGGGTGGGTTTGGTTGGACTGTCTAACTTCATACATTACCCAAATTACATTCAGAGAGGAGGAGCTGGATCTCACACTCCACCCATGAATCTGCAGTGAGAAGCCTCTCCTACACTCCTCCGAGTTAGTACACTATTAACAGATAGTAACACTATCAAGAGGGAACGCTTCTTTCAGACATTACGGAAGGCAAAACATCATGATGTCTCATTGTCAGGTCTCTTGGGGGAAACCAGCAGGCCAGGTATATTGTCATATAATTAGGTTTCTTAAAGAAACTGATTTAGATAAAATATTTAATTAATTTATTTTTATTTTATTTCCTGCTTAATCTCTCGTTCCACACTTCCAGTTCAGTTGGTGGTGGTAATGCACTGTTAAACTGGTTTGCCAACAGCCATTAAACCCTAAAGAAGAAGAAGTGTTGTCCTTCAAAGGTTGTTAAAAAAAAACACTTCAGGGAACAAGCAAGCACTGTGACATTATGTTCTGAATACTATTTATGGAAATATAGTTTATATATAATTTTAGTGAGTTCCTTATTTATTTATTGACCAAGGAATTCCTTTAAAATATGAAGAATTTTTGTCACATTATAAAATCTCAATTACAGCAAAGGAATATGCTATTGATTTTGGAGCTATCCCTTCTGGGATTGTTATGTTTATGAAGGGATTCAATAACAAGATACAATAAAATATATCTGATACATCTGTTGGTAAATGATCTCTTGCCACCAAATCAAACAACAGTATTCGTGCTCTGATCCAGAAAGATGTTGTCTCTTGCCTGAATCTTTTATTGGAACAGAGATATTGACATTAACTGGGCTAGAGTGTGGGCTTTGCCACAAAAAAATATTTTTGTACAATAAGATCAAAGAAGTGTCTTATAAAATTATACATCGTTGCTATCCCACAAAATGTTTTTAACAAAGGTTTCTTTCCAACGACTTTGATGTAAATTGCACTTTCTGTGGTCTCTAAACTGAAGATTTATCTAATTTATTTTGGTATTGTGAGTATACTAAGAATTTTTGGTTGTTATGGTCCCTGGCCTAGGTCAGGGTGTAACAAATGACAAACACTTTGTATTTACCCATTTTTATATCTTATTCTCTGGGATATTATTATAGTGATATTCGTGGGTTTAACTAATCAATTTCTTACTCTAAACTAACAAGTAAAAACAACCAAACAGTTTGGAAGCAACAACAAAAACACTTCTCCACATGAAAACCTTATATAAATACACATTAACTACTACTTTTAGCAAACTACTTAATGCAGTCTTGAACTTAAAGCAGAACTGTTTGTGCAGGTGCCACAAATTAAGATTATTAAATAAAGAAAATGGTCTTTTTTTAGAGATATTGGGGTGGCTCTTAAAAGAGCCTTGGGTTTGTGTGACTGCTGTGGATTTAAGCGCGCTCTCCGCGGATGCGGCGGGCCAGCTGGATGTCTTTGGGCATGATGGTGACTCTCTTGGCGTGGATGGCGCACAGGTTGGTGTCCTCAAACAGACCCACCAAATAAGCCTCGCTCGCCTCCTGCAGGGCCATGACAGCCGAGCTCTGGAAGCGCAGATCCGTCTTGAAATCTTGAGCGATTTCTCTCACCAGACGCTGGAAGGGCAGTTTGCGAATCAGCAGTTCAGTGGATTTCTGGTAACGGCGAATCTCTCTCAGCGCCACGGTACCGGGCCTGTAACGGTGAGGCTTCTTAACGCCACCGGTAGCGGGAGCGCTCTTACGGGCGGCTTTAGTGGCCAGCTGCTTCCTCGGGGCTTTTCCTCCGGTGGACTTACGAGCGGTCTGCTTAGTTCTCGCCATTGCTTCAAAGGAGTTCTGTTACTGATGTCAACAAAACGAATGGATGAATGGGTCACTAGAACACAGCGCCTTTTAATCCTATGTCTGCCATGCGCTCATTGGATGGCTTTGTTTCAGAGGCATTCTATTGGTTGTTGTCTGGCGACCGTAAATGACAGTTGGCCAATGGCTGTGCGCCTCCTGTTTTCAAACAAGAGACAAGAGTTTGTGGTTCGCGCCCAAACCACATTTTATTTCTCTTTGTATTCCGCTCTCCAAGCCCAGACAAGTGAGCGCTGGTCGCGCTCTTTGGTGTGTGTGTGGTCACAATGTGTGTCCTAACGTGACTTGAAATTATTTTTCTTTTCATTTATGATCAGTTAAGAGTTTGTGGGTATTTGTAATGTGTTCCTTTACTTTATATTATTAATTTCTTTTCTAGCTTTGGCTAGGGTACACAAATAAAAGACAGACATGCCATTTCAAAAGTGAAATTTGTTTGATTATTTGGTGAATTGGGACTGGAGATCCTCAAAGTCTCTCCACTGTTTGTTCGTCGTTCCCTATTTTACACCTAGACAAAAAGGGGAGAAGTAACAACATGAAAATAGAAAAGGCGAAACCAGGTATGTGTACAGCAAAACCCATGATTGATTTTTTAAATATTATTGAAAGTGTAGAGATGGACTTGTGGCACTATTAATAAAAACTAAGAAAAGTACATTAACCACGTTGTGTTTCATTTCTTTGTATTTATATCAATATTTCAGTTTAAATATTTTTAGTCATGCTAATAAAACTATAAGCACTTTCAAAGTACATTCATTAAATACTTACAAATAGTCTAGTAAGATTGGATAATAGAACGTTACTCATTAAAATTCTCTAGGGACATTCATTTCTAGTCAGATATAAAGAATTAAAAAAAAAATAGAGTAATTGAAAACAAACTGATATAAAAATGCAATCTCAGACACTTAAAAGACCGTTAGATTCCGTAATAAGATTGTTTTAGTCAGCATTATAGTACAAGTTAGAACTGTCAGCTTATGGGAATTATTTTGCCATAGTATTTTATATTTTTTATTAATCTAACTTTTATTGAAGAAAACAAATCGGACAAATGAAATCACTCTTTCATGGAGAAATTGGGTGGCTCTTAAAAGAGCCTTTGGTTTGCAGAGAAGGTTCCGTCAGTTTACTTGCCCTTCGCGGGCTTCTCGGTCTTCTTGGGCAGCAGCACGGCCTGGATGTTGGGCAACACACCACCCTGAGCGATGGTCACGCCACCCAGAAGCTTGTTCAGCTCCTCGTCATTGCGCACCGCCAGCTGCAGGTGTCGAGGGATGATGCGGGTCTTCTTGTTGTCCCGAGCGGCGTTTCCAGCCAACTCCAGGATCTCAGCGGTCAGATACTCGAGCACAGCGGCCAAATACACCGGAGCTCCGGCACCGACGCGCTGGGCATAGTTGCCTTTGCGGAGAAGCCTGTGAACACGGCCGACGGGGAACTGCAGTCCCGCCCTGGAAGAGCGAGTCTTGGCCTTGGCGCGAGCCTTTCCCCCGGTTTTACCTCTTCCACTCATTGTAGCTTACAGTTGATGTTTTTCAAAGAAAGTAACACTTTCGAAGCTGTGTTCTGCCTTTTAAAAGAAAGCTCGCTAATCTCCTATTGGCTGGCGTCTGAACACATCATCGAGCCAATCAGTGGGCTTCCCTCCAAACACCAAACCCAACCCCCTTTCTACTATTCTCAAGTGTTTGCTACTATTTAATCAGGCCTAGCTTTCTTTTAATGCATTTATTTAATGTTTTGAATACGTCATTCATTTCTTCAGTTTCTTTATTTTAATTTTTTTATTTAGTATGTATATTTTATGACTATGTAAAGCAATTACCATTTTTCACTTTACTGTCTGGTTTTGAGCATAGTGTTATATTAAAGTTGGTCTTCATCGGTGTAGTTTTAAATTCCACTGTTATAAACATGTGAACGTCTACGCACAGATACAGAGTTCATCAAAATGTCTTATTATAATTTAAATTTAAAATTTAAATAATATATTAAAAACATTTAAAACTTATAATTTAAATGTCTAACGTTCAAATCACATTTAAATGGATAGTGCTTTCCACAAAACAGTCGTTTTAAAGCAGCTTTACAGAAAATGCATTACAATTTAGTGTGATCTGTTATCAGAGGTAACTGTCTAAGTTATGTATTTCAGAAAAGTACATCACAGTTAGCTTAAAATGTATTAATTTAAACAATGTAATAATTTAAGGCAGAAACAATGAGCTCACTGATTATGACCTTTAGAAAAATGTAGCATGGGTGCAAGTCTCAGATAAAAGGATTAGGCCTTCTTTCAAGTAGGATATTTAAGTAGCTTTTATAAATGTGCCTTGGGGGGGGGACAAACATTATTGGTGTGCATCTTGAGATTAAACAATGGCACTGACATATTGTAAGATCAGGTCAAGTTGCTTTCAGTAAAAACAGTTAAAACATGCATTTTAGTCTTGGACTAGTTTAGGCCGCGTGAAATTTTGGATAAATGTATTTGCACATGAACATAAAGGGCCCATTATTTTGCTCTCGCGGTAATGACACTTTCATTGAACAGATGACCCATGAAATAATGCTCTTTACTATGAATTAGTGGGTGGCTCTTAAAAGAGCCTTTTTGATAATAATGGGGAAAAATACAAGGAATGAGTTTATTTCTTTTTGGCTGCTGTCTTTTTAGGCTTGGCTGCTTTAGGTTTCGCCGTTTTGGGTTTTGCTGCCTTTGCCTTTTTCGGGCTCTTGGCTGCTTTCTTAGGAGTGGCGGGTTTCTTTGCCTTCTTGGGACTCTTCGTTGCCTTTTTAGCGGCGGGTTTCTTCACCTTCTTCGGGGATTTCTTAGAGGCGGGCTTCTTTGCTGCTGCAGTTTTGGGCTTCTTCGCGGCTGCGGGTTTCTTGGCTGCGGGCTTCTTGGCTTTAGGAGCCGCTTTCTTGGCGGGTTTAGTCTTGGTCTCGGTCTGTTTCTTGTTGAGCTTGAAGGAGCCCGAGGCGCCGGTTCCTTTAGTCTGGACCAGGGTTTCATTAGTCACCAGACTCTTGATGGCGGTCTTGACGCGGGAGTTGTTCTTCTCCACATCGTATCCACCGGCAGCGAGCGCTTTCTTCAGGGCGGCGAGGGACACACCGCTCCTCTCTTTAGATGCGGACACAGCCTTGACGATCAGCTCGCGGACGCCTGGACCCGCTTTCTTGCTTTTGGCGGCTGATTTCTTCTTGGCCGCTTTAGTCGCGGATGCTGGAGCAGTTTCTGCCATGATTTCTCTGAGTGAATCTGGACTCACACAATCTGACTGTGATCAACAATGAGCCGCTGCGCCTTTAACAGCCGCATGAGAACCGTGTAGACTCAACCTGCTCTGTTCAGCGTCTGCTCCTGCACTAACGCCTTTGCTTGTGTTTTCTCCTTTCATATTTGGAATAAAACTGGAGTTGTATAATAGTTTAGTAGATTAAAAACAACGTACACACCGAGTAGAGAGATTGAACTTTATTTAAAGACTAAAACACGCGACAAGTGAACATTTATTTTAGAATCGTCCGATCAAATGCAAAGCGTGCACCTGTAATGAACAAGGCTGCGTGTATATTTCATGTAATTTTGTGTATTAACAGTAGTAAACTACTGAATGTGTCATCCTAGTTTTGGAACTAGCACTTTGACAATGGCTTTAATGTAAGGAAGATCGCTAAGGGGCTTGTGGATTGTTTCATTCAGAGGTTGTTTTGTGCAGCTTGAAGCACACACACATCTATCTAACAACTCTTTATCTTCGGTCACTGATGATTCCCATGAATTCCTACTGGGGATGCCTGTATGTTTTGTTAAAGTGTTTGACTTGCTGTTTCCACATCAATAGGCATCCGGTTTAATATCTAGAGATCTACATTAGCCTACTCTGCATTGTGAAGAGAAGGAGTCAAGGTCAAGCACACATCTGAATGCTTGGGGCCATTTTTCAAAAAACATTTCCGAATGGTGTCACTTTTTAATGGTTTGTGGCATTTTCACTCATGCTAGTTTACAATTATATGAAATTAAATTGATAAGTGCCAATTTGTGTTGGCACTGCTGCTATTGTTACCGCTTTCATTTGAATGTTTAACTTTTTTAGTTGTGGCCATCAATCTAAATATTGTCTAAATGATTTTATAATTGCAAATTACACCCCAGCCAACAATTTTTTTGTTCAGATGTTTTCAAACATTCTGCTTTGGTTATAGAAATGTTAAATTATCCAGTTTTCTTAATGTTAGAGGAAAGCTTTTTATGTTCTTGAAATATTCTTTCAAACATTTGAACACATGCTATTAACAAGCAGAATCACTGAAAGAAAGAGAAATAACAAGAAGAGAAACAACTGACTGCAGCCACAGCCTATCAGAAAAGAAGACATTAAATCTGTGAAAATCTCAGTAGGGGAGGATTAAACAACTCCACAAACAGCATTACCATCTTCACTTAGATGTAGATGTTAGATGTTGATGTTTTTTTTTTAAATAATAGTAAATAAAAAAAATTGTTTGAATCAGTATTTGCTTTAGTTTAGCTAATGTCCCTTGACTTTAGTTGAACAATTTCTCTTTTAACAATTGTTTTAGTTTTTTTTAGTTTTTTTCAAATACACTACAGAATGAGATTTTAAAAAATGAGAGAAACAGATCAGCTGCAGTTAAATGCTCATAACTTTCAGTTGACTTATAAAGTGATTTAAATCACTAATTAGGAAAAAAAAAAGTTGGGGTTGGACTTCAAAACTGTAAAAAAAAATCTATTAAAATGCTGTTTTGGACAAGCTCACTGTAATGCAACTTTTAGGTATTAGGAACTATGAACTTGAAACTATTAGGTAAACAGATATCACTTCTTAAAGATGCTAATGTTTGTTGCAATTTTCAACTAAATATAAAAAGACAAAAATAGCATCACATGTAATATTCAAAAAGTTGTATCCTATCCTTTATATATTTTTATATTTATATATTATACACATTCATGTTCCCATATTGTATTTTCACACACATTCATGAAATGAGTTATAACGGATTTCTAGTTCCCAGTATGTTATTTAATGTGTTTTGCTCAATATTAATATGGGAGATCTGTTAGTGTTTAATGTTCTATTATTTTTGGAATTTAAAAGCTTTTCTGGTATGTCTGAGTTTTTGGGGTTAGGTTAGTTTTTGTGCTGAAGTAGAGTCTGGGGTTTGGTTGATGATTGGCCAAAGATCAATTAGACTATAATATTAAAAGCTATATTTTAAAGGTAATGTATGTGTACTCCTCAGCACAGTGATAATCTCTTGTCTAAATACTTTTGTATGCATGTGTGATTTGGTTAACTAGCTTGAAAATATCAAACATTTATAATGTAGATAATCGATCCAGAATGCTGCAGCATAGTCTTCAATGAGCCGAAGAGAGCACACGTCACTCCTCTCCTCACACAATTGCACTGGTTGCCAGTTGCCGCTCGCATTAAATTCAAGACACTGACGTTGGCCTACAGAACAACCACTGGCACTGCTCCCTCTTACCTAAACTCATTACTTCAGACTTATGTCCCATCCAGAAACCTGCGCTCTGCTAGCGAATGTCGTCTTGTGGTACCATCTCAAAGAGGCACAAAATCTCTTTCTCGGACCTTTACCATGACTGTTCCCTGTTGGTGGAATGATCTGCCTAACTCAACCAGAGCTTCTGAGTCAGTAGCCACTTTCAAGAAACTGCTGAAGACATATCTTTTTCGGCAGCACTTGATTCAGTAGAATTAACACTTTCTCTTCTCTTCTATTCTATAAAAAAAAAAAAAAAAAAAAAAAAAAAAACTGCACTAAAATTAAACAGAGGGGTTATAGCACTTACGTATTGTTGTCCTACTGTTAGTTTAACTGCTATATTGTTCTCATTTGTAAGTGAATAAATGTAAATGTAAATAAGAATTATATTACACTATATATATCTTTCTATATGTGTTTATGCTGCATGAGTAAATATATCTGCAATGTATTGCACATACAATACTATATCTGATCACATATCCATCTATGTGAATATAGCCTATTACTGAATATAACATTACATACATTAGGATACAGCGGTGAAATAAGCATTGAACACGTCACCATTTTCCTCAGTAAATATATTTCCAAAGGTGCTATTGACGTGACATTTTTCACCGGATGTTGGTAACAGCCCAAGTAATCCATACATACAAAGAAACCAAAACAAATAAGTTCCGAAATTAAGTTATGTGTAATAATGTGAAATGACACAGGCGCTTATTGATATTTATTTAAATATAATATAATTTATTTAAATAAAATATAATAGATATTTATTTAGATATTTATTTTGCACAAAAGCCTTTGTTGGTAATGACAGCTTCAAGACACCTCCTGTAGAGAAACTAGTCGCATGCATTGCTCTGGTGGGATTTTGGCCCATTCTTCCACAAACAGTCTTCAAATCTTGAAGGTTTGTGGGCCTCTTCTATGAATCTTGATCTTCAGTTCTTTCCATAGATTTTCGAT